GATTCATATTAAAACTATAGGTTAAAAATATTGTGCATTATGCACATTAGAACTATAGGTTATAAGAGAGAATATGGTTTAGCCAAACTATATCTCATATTTAATTAAATGTTAAATAATTAATGGTTAATTATTTAATATTACATTTAATTAATTAATTATTAATATTAATTATTTATTAATTTGATTAATAATTATTTAATATTACTTTTAATTAATTAATTATTAATTTGATTAATAATTATTTAAWATATTAATTATATTAATATAATTAATAATTAACTCCCCTGCATTATTGCAGGGGAGTGGGGAGTTATGTGACGTGGGGTAACTCCCCATGTCACTGGTTTTTCTGGGATTGCAGAACTGTTCTGCAAAGAAAAGAATAGAACAGAGAAAAAAGTAGCACTCCCAACTCTCTCAATTTGATCTCTCTCAAACTCTCCCTCACATTCTATAGAATTGCTCCCACAAGCACGATCTCGAAACCCAAGAGGATAGCAAGGAAGATYGTTTGGTGGTGTTCGTTGGGAAATCGTTGAAGAAACGTTYTYCAAAGGTAATRGTTTCCCTCTGTATTTTCATCTTGAATTTTTTGATTTTGTTTCCCAAATTTCACGAACAACGGTCCGCTTCCGCTCCGGGATTCACATCCCTTCAGAACCGGACGTCRGAAAGTTGGTTGGGACGCTATATGCCTCGGGCTAGGATGTTGCGTTTGCCCRGAATCCCTAGTTTCCTCCGGAATAGTATGGGTATCATTCGGTTCATAATGTGATAATTCATTTTTTGGGAGTTTTAGATAGTTGTTCTCACAGACGGCGCCAACTGTTGATGCAATTTTGGGGAACTCGGGTCGGATCGAGCGAACCAAGTAACCCGAAGAATCGACCGTCAAACTTTTGGATAAGAATTTGATTTGAAAATTTGGAGGAGCTTGGATCTACAATAAGAGAGAAAATAAGAGAATAAACACCGTTAGGAAGGGCGAGTGGATGAGACCTTCGAGCGCTTCGCTTTAGCCAAGCTTCGACCGCTACTGCTCGTCGCTTCTGGCCGCCACCAGTTCCCGTTCTTTTCCGGTGCACTCGCTTTATAT